TGTCTGGGTGCTCCTGTGTAGGAGTGTTGGGGGCCTTTTCAGCTATTTACTGAGAATATTTCACATTAGAATATTTAAAATTGATTATTTATTACCCGGAATAAACCAGGGCTTTAACACATTTCACTCCACCCACCTCCTTTACAATGAATTAAGATCTTCCATCTCAATCAAATTCAATTATACTCTTTTCTCCTCCAGATCTTTAATCTAACCCACAATACTGCAGCAGCTGCAGCTCGACTGTCTGCGCCGAGAGAAACGAGGGAACAGTCACCATTAAAAATAGAACCAAGTATCATTTGGCCACCGTTTCTATCGTCCTCTGTTGGGCAATGTAATGTACTGTTCTAAAACTTAATTATTTATGTTGTTTGGCCAAATAAGCTCCATGAAAAAAAAGTGTTTATATGATAAATAAACAGAGGGACTCTGGCTCGCTGCTTGCAGTCATGAGGAAATCTGCCGTGTGGATCGACTGCTGGGGAATGGCAGTGATGCACATTTTCACACCCAGCATGTAACGCTGCAAAATTCGTAGATCTGTGAACTGCAAACGTCTGTTGACACGTAAATCTGTCAGTTCTCAACATAACACGAAATCCGTCAAGCCAATTGGTGTTCTGTGTTAGCACGGGAAGGACGCTGCCGACGCTTCGATATGCTGTGTCAGCCCTGTAATAAATGTGCACTTTAAAATGCATTTTCTTTCTATTTCTGAGGATTATTCTGCAGCATGAGGATCCTCAAGGACTCACACACATTCAGATTAATAAATACAAACAATGCAGCCACAGACTGCTGTTAATTTACACTTAATCGAACTGTCAAACAGCTTTACAGTGAAGTCCTGTAGAGCTGCAGAGAGATTCTGGCCTATAAATCTTGTTTTCCAGACTTAAGAACACGTTTTGTTTGGTTCAGACCCCCAAAACATATCACATCATCAGGATTTAAATAGTTTTTTTCAGAGATGATTAAATTTATGATGCAAAAATGTTGAGAAAGCTGTAAATTCTGCACAACAAAACATATTTTATTAATGACAATGTTTTGATTCTAGAGGGATTCTTTGTCAGGTCACAATGTTTCCTTCTACCAGTAATAACGCTCACTACCACACAATCATATCGCAATATCTGTCAAAATAATCTCATTAGGATGTTTTTACCAGATCATGCAGCCGTAGCATGCATGTGCAAAGACAAAATAATAGTCTGTTTACGTCACAGACTTCAAAATTAAAGCTGACTACTGCCCATAAAATACAATAAAGATGCAGATATATGTAAGATTTACACGTGTATCATGTGAGTAAAGATTCAGTATGAAACATTTGGTTTGGTCAGTGTATAATGAACTGAAAATAGGATAGTAGTAATAGTTGTGTTTTTGTTGCCTTAAAATGAGACGTTTTTATCTATAGATAAGTTGCCTTTCCATGGAGGCGGCCATGTTTCTACACTGGCTCTAAATAAGGCCGTGTTTTGCAGCCACTATAGTTTTTCCATCATGCCTGGAAACGGAGGGTGAAGTGAGGGAGTGTCAATCTGCAACTAGACGGCACTAAACCCTACACACTCGTCCTTTAAATCAAAACAAACCCACTGTGAAAGGTCGATTTCACAACAAGGGATAGCAACATGTGAGGCAGCGTAAGAAGATAGTGAGCGAGGGTTCACGGGAACAAACTGATTCCTGCTTCCGAAGAAACCGGCCGAGTGCGAGGAAAGCCAAAGATCACATGACCATCAAATGTTCATGAGCTCATAAAAGCAGCCCGACTGGAAGCTCAGTGACAAAAAAACAATCCTAAACTTATCGCATGGAGATTCTGCCGCCCTCTCACATCAAAACAATAAGTCAAAGTTTGCTGACGTTGCGTATTAGCGTGGGGATCATGGGAGTTGTTGCATTCAACAACATTGCAGTCAACTAATCCTGGTTACGGTTCCTCCGGTGTTCATCGTTCAGGAGGTTTCTACCAGGAGCCGAATTATCCACAGAGGTCTCCTCCTCTCTAACACAAACAGATCTGCTATTAAAACCAGTTTGACGGACAAAGGATGTTCTAGAGGAGCTGCTGCTAACGTTAGCTCAGCTTGTTCCTCTGATAACTTAAGATCCAGACGTCTGAGGACTAAAATCCTTCCTCTGGTTAAAACATAGAGTTTAAAACAACCAAGATCTAAAAAGTGTGTCGTATAAATGAAGCTTAAAACTGGATATTTATGACAGCTTCCGGCAGACAACCATGTGCAAAGCAGATACGACGCCACTGACAGGCGACCGGTGAAACTCACATGTGAGATGTTACTTTACAACATATATAAACACATATGAAGTATTTTTAGACCACCGCTACGACAGACGACCTACTCTCACACAAACTCCATCTAATCAGATATCTGGGTATGTAGGAAGGAAGTAAAAACGCTATTTAAAGCCCAAAGCAACACATCTAAACGCCAACAACATCACCGCTCAACAGCGGCCTCGTGGACGCCACCGAGCCTCCACCAAAAAAAGAAGCCGTGAGCTCACCTTTTAAATTTTTCGGGTTGTTCTGCTTGGTCCGCGGCATCTTTTTCCCCCGCCTCAGTTCACAGGTGCATCTTGGGGAATTCTAGCAGTTGGACCGCGAGAAGAGTCGACTCCTGAGGCGCAGTCTGGGTACATCTGCAGAAAACACACACACACACACATATAAATATATATATATACACATATATATACACACACAGGGAGTCAGAATCAGCTAAAACATGAGCTCACAGTGATCAATAAAAGGTGTCTGTGAGACGCTGATTGAGTTTGTTCCTCAAAAAAAGGTGCTGGACTTTTCCTTTCAGGGGCCTCTTTCTCCTCCTCTCTCCTCTCTGTGCTGTAATAATGTGCAGTGCGGCTCCGGCGTACTGTCTACTGTCAGTGGGAGGAGGTGTGAATATGTTCTCCCCATATCAATATAACCTCTGCAGCAGCTGCTATCTGCCACTCTGATATCAAACACAAAGACAAGAGAAAGAGAGAGGTGAGAAGATCCGCCATTGTTTATGGGAAAACATCTTGATTGACATGCCCGCTCCTCAACTTTTAGACGAATGTAAACGAGAAGAAGGTCCTGTGTGAGCCGCCGCCGCCGCCAACTGGTGATGATGATGATGAGCGCTCAGGAGGGAGGGGGGGAGGAAGAGGAGAGAAATCTAACCTGCTGAAGTTGGATCACTGCAGAAAAAGTCTGAACCCTCCTTCACAGTGGAAACGTTTGCTCTCGATTGCAACCAGACGCTTTAAATATGAGGGTTTCATGCAAATTCTGGGGTTTTGTTAAACCCCTAACAAAGACAACCGACGTAAGACAGAAAAGGTGGGTGAAGTTAAATGCCACACACATACAAAACGCTGCAACAGCTTCTTTTAGTGAAGACAAAAAAAAAAAACAACCGCATAAGAAAAAATCTGACAGAAAAACACACAAAATCTTAAATATCTCATTTATATTATCAAAATAAAAGCTTTCCTGCCCTTGCATCATCCCCCCACCGTGTCCTCACAACACCTCTACCCCCTGTCAGAGCAATGCACGTTGCAGAGAGCAGCTCCAGGAATCAGCCTTTGTCTCTCCCCCCTCCTCTCCTCCTCCTCCTCCTCTTCCTCCTCCTTCACCGATATTACATAACACTTACTACAACTGGATGATGATTTCTTCTCCTTCCTCCTCCCTTCCATACAGTCGGTACATGTGGCACTAGAGCAATGACATCATCTCACGGTAGGGTTTTCGGTATAGGGTTGTTTGTTAGGGCGCGTGCACCGGGTCGCACATACACACAACACAAACAACAACAACAACAACAACAACAACGTCCTGGAAGAAAACACGAAGAGCAGCAGCAGCAGCAGCAGCTCACCTGGATGCCGCACGGATGCACAGGAGCGCGGGTTCGACGTCTCGGTTGATGTGGAGGCGGAGGAGAGTGAGACATGTCCTCTGGCGTGTCTGTCTATCTGTCTGCCTGCCTATCTGTCTGTCTGTGCATATATGTGAGGAAACACCCTGATACTGACACACACACACACACACAAACACACGCTGGAGAGCTGCGCTGTAACGCTATGTCCTCAACCACCCTGACAGGCAGGAATGCAACCTGCAGGTGACTAATGAGTCCGCTCACACCTGAGGATCAACCGGAACACATTATGTAAAAAGGTGGCGGCAGCGCGCGCGCGCACAGTGCACGCACCGACCGTGAGAGTGTGTGACATAATTAATAAGATCTGAAACATCAGGAGATATAAATATATAAAGCTGCGGGGTTTTGTCTTTTTCTTGCTCCGTGCAGCGGAGGAGAGGTGGTTCACAGCAGGAGGAAGAGGAGGAAGAGGAGGAGGAAGGGTTGCAGCTGATTAAAAACAGAAGATAAATTAACTGCATGCAATGAAGTCAGCAAAACACAGCGCGTGGGAATAGCGTATTTTGTGCCTGTTGCAACACGTGAACGCCCTGTAAGTGAGGGAGGAGCCAGGGAAAACCCCTCACTGTCTCTGCAACAGCGCTCGACCGGGACACTTTCCCTCCACCTCCTCCTCCTCCTCCTCCTTTATCCAACCAAACCTCCACACACACACACACACACACACACCTTCACCAACAACATTGAGGGGGTATATCTTACCTACAGTGTGCACGAACAGGAGCAACAAAGAGCGGCTGCGTTAGAGAAGAAGCACCGGAGAGCTCAAGTTGCGTCCTTTTTTTTTTTTTTTTTTTTTTTTGCTGCAGGAGTCCACACAGGAAAACACTGCGCCAAAAACAAGGTGGTGGAGGAAGAGGAGGAGGAGGAAGGGGGGGGTGCTCACCTGCGTCCACCTGACCGGGTTTAACACACCCGTCAAAGTTGAGGGTTAAAACCCGGACGAGAGGCACACAGCAGCGATAAAAGCATGTCCGACTCTCTCTCAGGCTGCAGCTACCGACAGCGACCTATATCACACTGACAGAAGCCCCGCTCCGGCTCCGGCTCCGGCTGGGTGCTGCTGGTGCTGCTGGTGGTGGAGGAGGTGGAGGAGGAGAAAAAACCACGCAGAAAAACAAATCAAGCGCACTCACAAGTGGATGTATTAATACTCACAGGTGCAGGGTTGTAACACACCTTTTTTAGTGTAAAGAGGAGAGGAGAAGGGGAGGGGGGGTACTGCTCCGTGTTTTCTCCCTTCACCTTCTCTCTCACTTTCTATTGCAGGAAACAGACAGGCCCACTGACGTCAACGGGGGTCCCGTCTCCGCCTCTCAGCCGCGGGGGTGTCCTCGTCCTGCAGCGGGGGGATCCCGACGGCCGGAGCCACAGCCGCAGCGACCGAGTGACTCCTCGTCCTGACACCGAGGAGACGGTTTCAGCCTTCAGGATCCGTGTTCCTGAAGGGTCCCCCCCCCGACCAACAGTTATATACACAGGCAACAAAACGAGGTGGTTTTTTAATTTTTAATTTTTATATTTTAGATTTCTCTTTTTTATTTTGAAAGTAAAAATGTATTTATTTTGAAAGTAAAAATGTATTTATTTTGAAAATAAATAAATAAATGAAAACAAAAATAATAAAAAAAATAAAAATAAAAACTTTACACAAAAAACGACAGTTTTTTAAAAATAAATAAATTTTTACTTTCAAAATAAAAAACAGAAATCAAAAGTTAAACAGATCGTTTTTTATTTTTTTATTTTCAAAATAAAAAAACGTGTCATTTCCTGATATTTTGTTTTTCTCATTTTAAAAACAAGAATAATTTGCCTGCAAAGCACACTGATGATGAAGCTACACCTCCTCCTCCTCCTAGTGGAGCAGTGAGGAGCAGCGGGTCGCCCGTTGTGAGCCCCCCTGCAGGGCCCCCACCCACCCTCTCTTTCTGCACATAGTTTAGGACTGACGGTTTTCCCGGAGGTTCCTTGTTGTCAGGTCACGTTGTGCCCCTCCGCCACTACCGACCGGGCTTTCCCATGCACAAACCCGCAGCAGGGACACAACAGTGGGTCTCTCTGCACACCGGGGCCCGCGGTGGTGAATCAGAAAACATGGATGAACTGTGGCCTCAACTGGTGCCAAACAACCAGTGCAGCAAACACTGTTTTACTTATGTAGAAGTGGCACAATGTAGAAATACTCTACTACGAGATAGATACACAACCACAACAAATTACTATAAGTGTCTATATGCAGAATATCCTCAAATACCACATAAAATATACACTGCATAGTTTTATTGATCTGATAATATTGGAATTTATTTGTTGATTGTATTTTGTGGGCAATTATTAATCTAAACCTACTAAGTAATTCAAATTATTAAATAAATGTAGTGCAGTAAAAAGAACAATATTTACCCTGAAAATTGAACTTAAGTAAGAGTACTTTAAGTAAATACTACTTGTAGTTATTTGCTGTGGTGCAAACTAAAGTACATTTACTCAAATACAAGTTTTAAGGTTTACTTGGGTTAAAATGTACTTAACACAATTAAAATTATTTAAATAAATTGAATCTTTATCATAAAAATATATCTAATTGAGATATTATTTTATCTCAAGACCGAAACTAAATAAAAAAGCATCAAGAATCAAAAACATGGAGGAAGTAAAAGAGTTTAAATTGTGTTTAAATGTTTCTTTGTGTATCCAGATGTCGCACTAATAGCAGCTGTACTTCAAAACAGACTCGTGTGTGAGAATTAAACCCGTGTTTATGTGTCCCATAATAATACGTCTGACTGGTTGAACAAGCTAGCAAACAAATATGCATCCAGGAAACCACGAGTGTTAACGTCGGCCATTTTAAAGGCAACGTGTTCTTCAGTGTCACTGCTAACGCAACGTGATCTGGCTTTAGCGCAGTTAGCTACAGTTAGCTACAGCTAGCTACAGCTGGCTACAGTTAGTAGCAGTTGGCTACAGTTGGCTACAGTTAGCTACAGTTAGCAGCAGTTGGCTACAGTTAGCAGCAGTTAGTTACAGTTAGCTACAGCTAGCTACAGTTAGCAGCAGTTAGCAGCAGTTAGTTACAGTTAGCTACAGCTAGCTGCAGTTAGCAGCAATTAGTTACAGTTAGTTACAGTTAGCAGCAGTTAGCTACAGCTAGCAGCAGTTAGTTACAGTTAGCAGCAGTTAGCTACACCTAGCTACAGCTAGCTACAGTTAGCTACAGCTAGCAGCAGTTAGTTACAGTTAGCAGCAGTTAGCTACAGCTAGCTACAGTTAGCTACAGTTAGCAGCAGTTAGTTACAGTTAGCTACAGTTGGCTACAGCTAGCTACAGTTAGCAGCAGTTGGCTACAGTTAGCTACAGCTAGCTACAGTTAGTAAAAGTTAGCAGCAGTTAGCTACAGTTAGCTACAGTTAGCAGCAGTTAGCTACAGCTAGCTACAGTTAGTTACAGTTAGCTACAGTTAGCAGCAGTTGGCTACAGTTGACTACAGTTAGCTACAGTTAGCAGCAGTTGGCTACAGTTGGCTACAGTTAGCTACAGTTGGCTACAGTTAGCTACAGTTAGCAGCAGTTAATTACAGTTGGCTACAGTTAGTAGCAGTTAGCTACAGCTAACTACAGTTAGTTAGTTAGCTACAGTTAGCTACAGTTAGTTACAGTCAGCTACAGTTAGCTACAGTTAGCAGCAGTTAGTTACAGTTGGCTACAGTTAGTAGCAGTTAGCTACAGCTAGCTACAGTTAGCTACAGTTAGCTACAGTTAGCAGCAGTTGGCTACAGTTAGCAGCAGTTGGCTACAGTTAGCAGCAGTTAGCTACAGTTAGCAGCAGTTAGCTACAGTTAGCAGCAGTTAGCTACAGTTAGCAGCAGTTGGCTACAGTTAGCTACAGTTAGCAGCAGTTAGCTACAGTTAGCAGCAGTTGGCTACAGTTAGCTACAGTTAGCTACAGTCTCCCTGCCGACTCAACTGCAGCTAGCATGCTAAAGGAGCTAGCTCAAATAAAATAATAACATTAGCCTAAAATGAAACTAGCTTTTATCAGGTTTTGTACGGGTTGCCACAGAACTCTAAAACTCATGATAATTAATGCTAACGTGGACGTTATATTTGTAAAATAAGCCAATATTTTTGTACTTTGATCAGTTAAACCAGTGAAAAACACAAACACACAATATCAGATAACTGAAACGAAGCAGCTCAACTGCAGCTAGCATGCTAAAGGAGCTAGCTAGGTATATCTCCAAAGTGAGGAAGTTTTTTATTCCTCAAATAACATAACAAAAACCTAAAATGAAACTTGCTTTTATCAGTTTTGTAAGGGAAAACACGATAACTAATGCTAAAGTGGACGTTATATTTGTAAAAGAAGCCAGCGTGTTTGTATTTTGATCAGTCAATAACACTAATCAATACGTCTAACTCAGTGTGTGAGCACATACAGACTCACACTCACTTTGTTAACTCACATTTTCCACAGTAGCTCTAATGAACAAGGCGTTCAGTCTTTAAAAGCACGGAGGGAAATTCTACTACGACGGCTCAGTTTCACCTTCGTTTCCATCTCCAACGTGACAACAAAACCCAAAATGTTCTCACAGCCCACTCAAGTCAAAGAAAGGGTCTGTACAACAACACAAGTTGATTTTAATCTGATTTTTAATCGTTGAGTGTCGTTGGTGTGGTTTAAAGCAGCAGAAACAAGGTTGCCTGGGTGCACCGGTGTGTCGTGCCAAGGCACCGTGTTATTTTTGTCCTGCGTCGGGTCCGGCTATGACACATCACCAGAACGAAAAAGGTCACGCTATTTTTTGCCTCGTAGTCGGAAAATAGCCCTCTAATAAATGCGTAAATAAATCGAACGTCCTCGCCCAGCAACCGGGGGTCCTCGCGGAGAAACGTTTAGCTGTAGCAGAGCGATTATAATTAGCACAAAGTCGACAGGTCTTTTTTATTTTTAATTAAAAAAAAACGTATTGAATTTAATCTTTAGCATTGAGAAGAGATGACCCAGATTAGGAAACTAAACTGCAGCATGAACACTTTCTGATTTTTCCACCTCAAGTTGCTGCAAAAAACAAAGTGTCACACACACACACACACACACACACACACACACACATATACAGTGTCACCCAAAGAAACTTTGCTGCAGTGAGGCAAAATCTACCCATTAATAAGTGATTGTGTGACAGCCGCCCACCATCATATCACAGGCTTCTTGCTGCAGACTGCAGAGTGGGACTCCTGGCTCAGTTCGAGCTTTATGACTCACCTGTTTCAACTGCAACAAACTTAAAATGGCACATTTGAATAGTGGAACATTTTTCTTTTTGTGCGAGAACAGCAACGGGGTGTCGACGCGAACGTTGATGCAGCGTTTTTTCTGTCTGTCGAGTGATTGGTTGTTGATGATTTCATGCATGTAAAAAGTTTTTTTTTTCTTTTTTAGAATTAACATCAGTTAAAAGTCTTATTTCTTCTGAGAATGACACTTTTCTCCTGTTTTATTTTTGTCATTTGCTGCTGTCTGAACACCCACGGAAACAAAAACTGAGATGGTTTTTCAGTGCCGGATGAAAAAGGAGGGGGAGAGAGAGGAAGTGTGTGTGACTTGAAAAAAAACCTATTTACATAACCACATTTTCCTGAGAAGACAGCTTGTTTGGTTTTGAGCTAATACAATGCCAAGACTGGAACAATTGTTTATTAATTGAGCCCTCAGCAGCCGCTCTGTCAGCCAAAATCAATACGAGCACCAATCAGATCGGATTTGTTTTAGTGTGTAGTTGGAGCTGGACGGGATCCATTCGTGTCTTTAATGTTCAGCATTGCTCTGATAGAGTTTGTATGTTTGGAGTTATGAAGTCTTATTTACAATAATAACTCACAATTTGTGGTAATTTTGTGAAACAATTAGGCTTTAAACAGACGCAGGCTTCTCATTTCTCACCGGCAAACATAAAGATAATGGCTTGGTTGAAAATGTCTGTCTCCATGTGACTTTTTAAAAGTTTCCAGCTGATTATATAATTAATATAAAAAGCTTGTAAAAGGGTTAGAGCTAGTTAGCTCCAGTATAGTATTATCTATAAATATATAGTTTTTTCTTGCTATAGTATAACAGTCTGTGGACGAGGGCGACGAGGCTTTACACTTAAAAGTTGGTATTTTTAAACAGTTTTACCTTTATAGAAAATAAAATGATTTCAGGATGAGGATACGATGTGTTGGCTAAATGTAACTCTATATAACATAAAAGTAACACAGCCTCAGTTTTCTGTTTATTTATTCAAAATGTTTAGTTTTAGTTTAGTTTTAAATACTTTTTTAAAAATGATAATATGTGGGTATGTGTTGGGGGGAAGATTAAAGGAGTAAAGAACAGGTATTACAACACAAACACATGTAAACATCCCTGTCTCAGTAAATATGTGCACCAATGGCTCCTGACAAAAGCCTTACATTTTTATTTTATTTTATACACAAAATACACAATATTCTTAGTTTTTATTACCTATAATAACACAATAATAGTAATAAAATGCCCCTTTGCTTTAGGTGCTTGCAGCTTACGTGAGATGCAGACCAACCACAGCCACCAGAGCGGACACACTCTTGACATCATCCTCCAAAATCTTCATTTACACAGTATTACTTTAATTATAACCGCAGGCATCTTCTTCATCTCTGTTTTTATTTGCTGAATATTGTCATTGATCCTCCATTGTTACCACTACATGTTCTTTTCTTTATACAAGATCGTAATTAAATTGGCGTTTTTGGGCCCGTATAAATTAAATTACTTGACCCCTCACACTTTGAAATATCCAAGCATCAACCTACAGACCTAATAAAAAAGGTCTTTTTGGACATCCCCAAACTCCCTGCCTTGTCAGTTAAGACTTTTGTCAGTGCGGTCATATAATGGTCATATTAAAAAAGAAGGGGACTTCCTCAACTGCCCCCACAGCAGTGTTAGTGTATGGCAGCGAGGGGCTATTAATATCCTGGAGTGGTTACAGAAAATAAGCACAGCTGCCCAGCAGATCTGTCCTCCTGAACAATAGCCTCTTATGTGAAGGGAAGGCACTGCTGTTTGTGTCCTCTGCTAACCGATACCCCGTTCAAGGAGGTTCTTGTGCCGCTTTTATATCTTTGTCTCTCAGTTCGTATCATAAATAGATATTTATTGAACGCGACCTTCCAAAGAAAGACAGTATTCATAAGGGAATGCCTGAGTGTCCTATTTCTCTTGGCACACAGCGAGGCATTTGGATAAAGATTGATGTTGCTGAAGTATTTATAGGGTGGCGTCCTTTTTTTTTTATCCTTTCTTTTCTCTGTACGCTTCCTTTTGCTGAGGATATGCAAAAAAGAAACCGGACGCATAAACACCCTAAAATAAATACAGTATAATTGTTTTGGCACCCCTGGCTGGCCCCGTGTAGATAACCTCTACCTTATATCACACTGGACAGTTTTCCATTTAAACACCATTAGAGGATCCAGTAGCAGAGTGCAAACAGCCGCTCTCCTCCCTAACAAACTATATCTCAGGGTTTTCAATTAGAGGGACCACGCGTGGCAGTAAAAGGTGAATTATGAGGCAGTAATGTCCACTGCTCTCAGGGTAATTTGTATCCATAAAGGGCTTTTTCATCATTAATGTAACACACACACACACACACACAGGCTTCTTACAGTCTATTTTACTGTATATTTTATTAATATTTCCTTTATTCTTTGTACTATATTTCCATATGCTGCTGAGGGAGATCAATAAAGGAACATTATATCTCATTTTAAGGCTGCAGAGACAGACTGCAGTTTTAAATGTGAGCAAAATGTCTCCGTGTTCTCCACTGCACTGATAATAGGCGGGATTGTACACATTGCTGGATGCTTTTTTGTTTACACCGCACCATATGATGTTACATAACTGAGGCTGTTGCCGTGGTAACGCCAGGACTCCACCCCTCCCTCCCTCCTCCCTAACCACCCTTAGACATATAAACACACACACAGACACACACACACGCATATATATATATAACACGCCCTGCTGAGACAACAGGACATTCTCTGACCACATGACTCGACCAGTTGATTTAACGCTCACTTATTAACGAGATGGATTCTCTCTGGCGTCCGGATATGTTGCTCCTGAGAGACGTTTCACAGTCCCCAGGAGGGGGAACATCTCCGGCTCTGACGGCCCACCCCGGTGTTGTTTGATAAACAAATTAAAACATTCACAGCCTCCTTATTTTTTTCTTTTTTACAACGTGCACTGAAACAATCCTGTTTATTTATGGCTGTCCGTCAAAAAAAAAAAAAAAAAAACCCGAACAAAACCTGTGTGTGATGTCAGCTCTCTCGCCCAGGTTGTGCGGTACAATGTACGACGTTGTCCGCCGGGGGCTGAATGCCAGCGTGAGTCAGTTTTCATTACTTTGTGTGAGCAATCAGCTCCGCTAGTTGGATTCAAGGTCAGGGGAGGCTCTCCCGCCTTCACGAGCCGTACAATAACAACACCAGGCATCCCCGAACAAGAGATGTCTTTTGTGTTGAAGGGTACTGTGAGAGAGTACTCTGCTCTTCGGCTCTCGACGCCGTCTCAAAGCGCCGTTCACATGCCATCTGACAGCGTATCGAACCGGCCTCCTGGTCCGAAAGGCGGAGGTAGGAGCTCTGGGGCTTTTCCTCGCCGCCGCATCTGTCAGCAAACTGATCAATTAAAAGACTTTCTCCAGATCTTTGTAATCAAAATAACTAACCTAACAAATAAATAACCACTTTGGTCCAGACTGAAATATCTAGCGTCACCAGGAGGTCAAACATCTTGAATACAGACTTTCATGGTGCCCAGAGGATGAATCATTGTGACTTTGTTGTTGAGGTTTCCTCTATTGCCACCATGAGGTTGTGGTTGTAGTGAAACTACTGGACGGTGCGTTATCAGACGTTTATGTTCCCCGCAGGGTGAATGTGTAATCTCTTTGGTGAACTTTGAATCATCATCGGGGACATTTATAGTTGTCCAATGCTCTGCAAAACTAATAACAATCCCATCAGCCTCAGATGTTTAATATGGTAAAATGGTATGTGGTCGACATTTTACAGGCTTCTTTTAGGGATTGTTGAACCCTAAAATGCCTGATTACATGGCACCTTTTATAAAAACTGTAATACACGTTGTGATGTTTTTAGGCATTTTTTGGGAGAAAATGAAAATACAAATGCAAAAATACTTGAGATTTTTATGTATAACTCATTTCAAATCAAAGACAACTTGTTCCAGTGTGAATAAAAACTGTAGAAGTGATTGTACAAAGTTGCAAGGTTGCACAGAATTCACTTGGATTGGTTGAATTTGTGTTAACTGTTGCGTCGCAGCGTCCTAAAGGGACTGACATTATACGTGCTAAACATTAGCATGTTAGCATCTCTAACATTAGCACTTAAGGCAAATCACCACAGTACCTGAGTACAACCTCGTAGAGCTCGTAAAGGTCGTCACCTCACCAAGAACGATAACTATAAAGTGTTTAAAAATCTTTCTAACGCAACTGAACGCCACACCACGACTATAAGGAGAACAACAGTGGTGAACAATATCGTTGGGATCTTTCTGAATGCTTTGATGAACACTATTGTTGTACTAGACACTTGTATAACGTAATGTTAGACTGCAAATTTCACGTAAAATAAACGTAACTTTACCTGAAATACACTGCAGTCTTTAGCACTGATGGGTCTCTTAAGTCCTTTGTTCTTCCCAAAGTACGAATAAAAAGTCTCTTCAAAAGACGACAACTCTCGTAACTCCTCTCGTCTTTGATGAACCTCGTGAACACATCTGGTTTCCTCTTTGTTTCTCTGCAACGTAAAAACAGATCATCAATATATGTCTTCTGATTAAGCTGCTGACACAACTGGAGCGTTGATCAGCTCACATCGTTAGCGTTATTAGTTCTTGTTCTTCAAGTGTTTCACCGTAAAAGCTGACAACACATCTTAATAAAAGGAGTAAGTTAACTTAATTTGCTGAACAAAACTCAAGAGAAGCAGCACAGTTTGATAGTATTTCCATCTCTGCTGAGCAACAGTTTTGTGTCCTCAAATAGACGCCTGTCCCCAATAAAATATCCCAGTTTTACGTTAATGTATTCAGGTACAGATTTCATGTTTCTGTGTACAAACAGCATCTACATATAAAGGAATGAAACCAATGAACTCTTGAACTCTTTTGCGGACGTCTTCGGTCGTAAAAAGTGTCCTGAAGCATGCAGCCTGGCTCTTATCCAGAGACTCTTATTAAGAAAAATAAAGGCTGAGGATCTGTGAATACAAGATGGCCTCAACTACCTTTGTGTGTGTGTGATGTGGAACATTTAGAGCTATTTAATGTGGAGATTTTGTTTATGTAAAATCTTCTTGGTTTAAAGCTGCAATCCACTCAAGCTAAAGCCACTTTATTTTATTTGCTGCATCGTACGGTATGTGGATTTTGATGTTTTAATCTGCGGAGCAGAAGTGGAAAGATGTCGTTAAGTGAGAGATTTAACGCCCTTACACTAAATCCCTGGTGAGAAAATCACTTTGCCCGCCCGATGCCAGCTTTTGAACACAGTGCTTCTCGGAAAAAGCACAGCTGAGGTAAGAAAAAACCCCACAGTTTCTGTGCCCTGTTGGACCCCAGTGGCTCCGTCCGGGCTCTCGGTGCCCTGCAAAATGAGCCTTTACTGTTCCCATGTGACCCACATACTGTCTTTAAAGCTTTGCCAAGTGCCTTCTTCGTCGTCGGATATGTGACGACATCTCCGCAGCATCTCCAAGGAGGATGTGGGACGCCAGGCCGAAATCCTGGAAACCAGAAGGAGAAGAGTGTTTTTTTCGGGAGAAGCCTGGTGCTGTGTCAACGTTTCCAGTGACGTTACCGCAGGAGGGAAAAATCCCTGCTGTTGGGGAAAGCCAGGCAGCGCTAATAAGGGAAAATGCTTTGAGTGTCTGCTTATATTAAAGTAAATACACTATTCTGAGGAGGAGGAGGAGGAGGAGGAGAAGGAGAAGGAGCAGAAATTAAATAATTCCTTTCCAGGGTGGAGCAGAAAAGAAATATTAAAGCGAGTGGCGGTTTTCTGTGAGATTATTGTACATAAACAGGCCCGTATCTACCAATGAGGACACTATAGACTGTCAAAATTAACCAAAAAAGACTATTTGTTCTAAAAATCACATATTATTCAACCTAATCATGCAATATGTCCATAAACTGATACACTGTGTATATCTCATGGCAAAACTTTTATTTATACAGCATTTTAAAGACATTTATACAGAATAAAGTAAAGTTTTTTTAATATTAAAGACCCATCGTCATTGCATTCATACGGCAAAACTGTTTCTTTAGATGACTTGTATTTATACGGTAGAACGTGGATTAAAACCGGACAATACTAATATCCTTTTACCATAATAGTAATAGAAATAGAAAAAGTATTTATTACGGTAAAGTAACAGTTAACAGCCCCTCCTTTGTTTACACCCTGTTAAGTTACTGCATTAGCGGTTAGCGATGGCGTTATCTCTCCGTCTCCTGCTCCCTGTTGCTCAATGTCAAATGTTTACTGCTTCCTCTTTTAGTGATGGTACCACTGACAGTATATATAATGGTACATGTAATAAATGTAGTTTACTTTCTGTGCTGGATGCGAGGGTTAAAGCTTAAAGGAGTAGCTGCTGCAGTTATTCCGCTGTTATGATTTGTCGCTATTGAATTATTTACATTTTATTTTTATTTCCAATTATTTCTTTGATTGCTCGTCTCTGCGTCCGAGTTCGGTTACGAACTTTACGAGATCTTCGTATTTATTTATTTTTCTGAATTATTTTATTATTTATTGCACATAAAACTGGTGTTGGTTTATTTATTTTAATAACGTTTTTTATATGTTTTTGCAAATGAACGCAGATATTGTGTTATTTATTGTGACATGTAATTTAAAAATATTTTTCTTTTGCTCTTTAATCTAAATTGCATGTTAAAACATTTAATTTGTTACAACAGCTACAATGTTAAGCTTACGTTGTAGCTTTGTCAATTGGTTCAGTTAGCTGTAGAAGAGCTACACGTACCCGGCAGTTTGTAAGTTTAAATATTTACCGAGGAATAATCTCTGTGTAAAAACGGGTTTATTTGGTGCAACCCATTTTAATCTTCAATGTCTTTAAAACTCCACAAACAGGTAAGCTATGCATTGGAGCTCAGGAAGGGCTGGTGCAACCGGCTCAGCAAGGTTTTATTTGTCAACGTCACACTTGGTGGTGTTTTTTAGGGCTGATTTTGAGACTTATTTGACTGATTTTGGGCACATGTAACCCTCACAAAATGTAAACTACAATATGAAAACAATTACATGATTTTGAAACTTTCTGTTGGGCTACAAGTGATACGTTTCCTAAAAGTAGAGTGTTGTGTAATAACTGACTCATAAACTCACTATTTCTTCAAACGATAGCAGATTACTTCTAGGAATACTGAAGTGAAAGTATTGCTGTCTAAAACCTGGCATGTGGTTCTACCCGCACATGAGAAACTGATTATTTTCCCAGGCTTTTCGCTGCTCTTTTTTTTTTTTATCATTTAATAACATTATAATCTTGAGTGTGACACTTCAATGTTTAACTACCTAAAAGTTCAATCCCATCCTTATAAATCAACGCCTTTATTCTACGTCTGCACTTTTCCACTCGAATGCCTGGAAAACATTTGTGGGAAGAAAAACAAATCCTGTCAG